TAATAAAAATAAAAAAGAAAGAAAGAAATATTGTTTATAACCATTTATACCTTGTTCATAGTTGAACGAAGTGCTCCCTTTAAGAAGGTTTCCAAAACGCTCACTGACCAATGAGATGGTATCATTTCAATTGCCCTCACTGGGTCAATGTCAGATGCATAGGCATCCAGCAAATCCAGAGCAGGTACAAGATATTCATCTTTCTTGCCTCCACTTTTAGAATAAAACCAAATATGGATATGAGAAACATAAAGCCAAGTCAATAAAGTACCTAACTACTTCCCTTGCACTTGAAAGAAAGCAATGATAACTTACCTGGGTTCTGGATTCAGGTAGATAGATAAAAGACTATGAAATAACATATTATATGAGTTGTTTTCCTTTCTGACCCCATTTAGAAGACAGTATTCTTCGGCGCCCTTAAAGTCTCTGAGTTGTGTAGCAAGAATACAGAGAGCCTTTTCATGATCTCCCATCAATTTTTGGATGAAAAAAACAAAGAAAGAAAATAAAGTACAGTAAAACAAAACAGATATGTTTAAAGATTGAAGAAAAGAGCTGTGTAATAATACTAACCTTCCCATAAAGAACAGCTACTTCTTGATCTAATCCAACATCTCGCACTTTAGGTAAAAGAAACTTTGCACGGTATTGATTAGATTTCTGGAGAAATCTCCTCAGCCGTAAAATGTTTTCATTAAGGTCCGGTTCATTTTCTGTACTTTGAGACTTCAGCTTTGATATGACATCGATGTACTGCACAGCCAGTTGAGTATGAAACTTCTCTTCCTATATATCAAAAGACCAAATTAAATTTGAAAAAATTTGCAGGGTTGCATGAACAGTACATAGACTTATAGCTGATATTGAACTCACTTCAATTCCTTTCTCGTTGATTAAATATTCAAGGTACAAAATAAGAGCTTTGGGATAGCGTTGAAGATAATTGGCAACAGTGTGTGGGTCAAGTTCCATAGCAGGAGCAGTATCTTTTGCAGTTTGCTTCTGGATAAATAATTCAACACCATGTACTTCATTATTATCTAAGACTAAGTCGGCATACTGCCACAGAATTTCTGCATCCCCTATTCTATAGCAAAAAAAAAAAAATAAAGAAATAAGATCCAAAACCAACGCAAAATCATCATGGAATCACATAAGATAACTTAACTTACTTTTTGAGCACTTGGGCAAAGAAAATTATACCTTTGAAATTCGAATCATTTAATTCTCCTGATATCATCTGGCACCAAAGAGATAAGGCCTCAGACCTTTTCCCATGATTTAACAGGAGAAGAGCTTGGGCATGGTGGAGGCCTCTATCTTTCAGTCCAGCCAAACAACTTTGAAAGTCACCATTGAAAAGTTGTGATTCAAGTAAAGTCTCTAACTCCTTGCTTTGTCCAAGTTCAGCATACAACTTAAGCAGAGCAGTATCAATTTCCTGTACAAGGAAAAGTAGTGGACAGTAATTTTAACGGAGGTCTTAAAAATTCTACTTGACTGCCAAGAAAATTAAAGGAAGACATACCATACAATGCAAGCTTTTACTGGAGTCATGAGCCATTTGCAGGAAATGCAGCAAAAACTGTTTAGCCTGTATTATTTTTTTATCGTCTCCATGGGAAAGCTGATTCACATCCGCAATACAGTGAAGAGGTGGAACTGTTCTTGCAAAAGCTAGAAATTTTAAAATAGATGGATATCAAGAATCAACATCAAGTATTTATTATCGTTTTTTGTTTTTTTT